TTTTTATTATTATTCGAAGTGGCTATTTCAAAGGGCAATTTTGGCAACTGAAAATAATATTGTCGACGATATCAACATTAATATTCAAAAGAAAATTCCCGGTAATATTCAAAATAAATTCAGAACTGGCAAAAGCTCCTCCCGTTTTAAGTTTTGGCATTGTATAAAATTTAAATCAAATCAACTTTTTATTAACAAATACACTTTACACACTTTTCACACTTTATTTTCGATTTATATTCAGTCACTGTATCACTTTCACTACTCGCACTTCACTGTTTGTTTTTATTCACTCGCTGCACTACTTTGGAATTTTCACTTCTTTTTTGGTTCTTTCATTTGTCACTGATAAGAAACTGACGTTCGAACCCACGACGGATCTCGCTTTATATACCCGCACCAATGGGTAGTCCCACCCATACAAAAAAGGCTTCGAATAGTGCACAATGTTACAGAACTTCCACAACATTCCAGAGTGTTCGGATTGTTCCAAAATGATCTGGGATGTTCCGGGATGTTCCCGAATGTTCCAGAACATCCCGGAATATTGTGGAATGTTGTGGAATGCTCTCGAATACTTTCGAATTTTCTGGACAGTTCTATCAATTTGTAGAGGGCGAAACCTCCAGCCCTTTTATCTTCGACAGCACGCCCTTCAGGTAAAAACAGGAACCTTTCTCATGGATGGGGGATAGAGGGCTATCACACCATATAACTCCTTGATCGTACCGCGACTCGTTTTTCAGTTTTAGTGGCACGCACATTGTACACGCACGTTTATTATATAGATCGATTAATTACTATTTAAAATACATGTATATTCACAAACTTTATACAATTTTTGTATTTAATTCTTATCATTACGAAATGGGAGATTAATTAAACAGCAAAACTTCCTATGCACTCGTTATTATTGAAAACTGATGAGTAATTTATATGTTAGTCTTCTGATTTTTAAACAGCGTTTAAAATACCTCCACTGTTTTCGCTTTCGTAAAACTTTTTGCGCTATTTCTATTGTATGAAGCCAAATTATAAGGAAAGTCAATTAATTTCGTGTCACTAATAGTCTAGGGTTTGTTCATTATTGGGTGGTGGCGGAGAAGACAAAGGTTATAATCGTCTGACAAACACCGTTTATTTTAACTAACAATGTTCAGTGACGTTATATATTTAAACATTTTGGGCACATTTTTACTGATGATAAATTCAAATCTGAGCCTATTCCAATCGCAGAAGTCAAAAACGAAAACAGGAATATGTTATTTAAAATATAAAAAGCCATATAATTTTTCATACACTCAGTGTAAATGCCGAAAAAAATTATATAGGACATGACAGAATGTTCTGACATTACTGAAACAGTTTATAATTCAAAGTAATTTCATGCGTAATTTTCATTTTAATTTTTGTTTTCGGTAAAATATTATTTGTTTGAATTATTATATAACTTGAAGTTATAAGTGAATAACACATATTTTCATATTTTAATATATTTTTACCAACGATAAAAGTCGAAAATAGAAATCATACATGAAATGACTATGAATTATAATGTGAGCCCTTGGGCCTATGTACGGGCCTTAGCTGAAGAATGAACGAATTTCGCGCAAAATTACGACTTTGTAATTTAATTTCTTAACGCGATTGTTATAAAAAAAAAAACATCGCTTTAAACGGATCAGATGACGTTTTCTCTTAACAAATGGAGAGGAATTTGACAACAAGATGGCAACATTCAAGGAAAACATTCGATTGTGAAAGATGGACAGCTACTATTAAACGTCAACAGAAAAAACCTATGCTCGCACCTGGGATGTATCTTCGACATGTCAATAGTCGATCACATGACACGGAAGCCGAGACGGCGTGTTCATTTAGTCACTCGAGCGGCCGCGTGTGCGGGCGATCGGATCCGGGATCTAAATTTTGGATTGGGAGACAGCGTGTCAGAAGTGGCTCAAGCAGAAACTAGGTTAACGAAACAATCGTTATTTGTGAAGGACAGGAAATACATTCTATAGAATTTCGATAGTGAGTATATTAACTAAATCGAGGTAAAATAGGTTTTGATAGGTCTAACTTTGTGATTCTCGAGAGAGAGAGAGAGAGAGAGTTTACAGTGGTTCGCGAGTTGATAAATACTTTTGTAGTTGAAGGATCCGGTTGTAGTCTCATGGCAAGAGAGGATGAAGACAGAACTGGACTAGGTATATGGCTAGATATCGAGATATGGCTAGATATGGCTAGATATCGAGGTAAACTTGCCGGGAGTAGAATTGGAGTCGAGCTAATCTCGGATTTATCCGGGTGTCTAAGATGAAGTTATTTTACTTTGGTGATGAAAGATATTCCGTTTAGGAGGCACCAATGTTTTGGGTCAAAGTCGATAGTATAGTCTGTTTCTTATGCACTAAAGTTAACTTGATCGGGAGAGTGACTGGCGACGACTCTTTTTCGGCCGTCAAATTCGAAATCAGTGCGATATCGCCCGACTAAGAGGACAGTAGATCACAGGAATGCGTCGCTTTCGCCGTCGAGAAACTGTAAGGGGCGATTTTCTTCCCTTACAGTTTTCACGTAGCTAAGGACAACAATTGTTGAGCAAGTATGATGACATCGTTGATTAATTTTGTTAAAATTCGGAGTATCACAGATTTTGATATTATTTTAGCAAAATTACAATAATTATTCGCAAAGTTCGACTAGTCGGCTGATTTGCAAAAGGAAAACAAGGAACTTTTAAATGTCATTGAAAGAAACGTGAAGGAATTATAGTCTACTTTTTTCAAAGCAGTTTTCTCTTATTTTGTATTTTATTCACTTTTCTTGTGGTAGTACCAGAATAAATAAATAAATAAAATAAAATAAAGTTCTATTCTCTCAAAAGTTGTTATACAATACTTAAAATAATTTGATCATTGCAGAGTAATACACTGTACGTAATAAGAACATGATATACAAAAATTATAAAAAAAAATTTGCTATATAAACTTGCCATAACTTTTGAAAAAATAAAGCTCTTAAAAATATTCAATTGTGGAAAAAAATCGTGTATATAAAGTTCTTCAAAAAATGGCAGTTTTGATGAAACATCAAAATCTTAAAACAATGAATATCTTTATAAAATATCAAGTACTTTTTGCAAATGTTTCATATTTTCTCAAGTGCTTTATGTGAAAGTTAGCCAAGGTTACTTGGTACGTAGTACTCGAGTAACACTTACAGGCACTAGTCGGTAAGACCAGCTCTCAGTCGTCCAAAGAACGGCCTTTCCCCGTCGTAGGGAACGAGTGTGGAGGGCTTTACGGTTATATTATAATTTAGAGCGGAAGTTGGTGATAGCGAATTCACCTTCTTCCTTCGTCAGGTTCCCGACACCAGTTTGTCAATTTATAGAGGCGCGGACAAACACGCGATAACGATCTGATTCGGAATGAATTGAGGAGACATTCTTATATAATAAACATAAGTAAAATTTAATAAATCCAAACAACGAATACAGAAAATCAATAACAACGATTATATGACAAGTTAAAGGTTACGACTAAATCTATGCTAATGCGCGATCGAGAGAGAGCTCACAAAATGATTCTAAACATACGACCTGTTAGTTGTCGTCTTCGTTTCTGTAGATATAGGACACCTTGTAGATAGGGTTCATCTTCCTTTCGTATGGGAGATTAATTCGTGCACAAAATATAAAGATATCACTTCTTCTAAGTGTAGACTCGGGACTTAGTCTATCGGACTCCGTTATGGGCGTTGGCCATCAGGAGGAAACGTATGTGGAGTCTGGACACTTTCAAATCGGTCGGAGGACTCCCCGAATTATGACTAATTTCTCCTTTTATTTCCAAACTTCGTCCAATCATCGTATAGTAACTCTTTCGTGAGAACGGATGAGAGGGGGATGAATGAGGGGTAACCATTTCCCATCGGAGCGAGATTTTTAACCAGATATGGGAAAAACAGCGGATGTTCTCCTCGATGAAAGGAAATAACATTTGTCATCTAGTTTTTCCCACGTCTAAAACAATATTTTTCTCACCAAAACGAAGTATTATTTGGTGACATTATTTAAGCATATTTAATAAAAGTTATTAAATGAGGCCTAGGGCCTTCCGGATCTCACATTTACTTTTTTTCAGAGTTTCTTTATACAAGAATTTCTTTTTGTGATTAATTAATATTTTTTTAAACTACATTGTATCATATTTTAGATTCAAAGCTCATTTTTCAAAGCTCAATCGCAAATATAATTACTGTATTTCTCTTAATTATTTTTGGGATACATGGTATAAAACAGTATGTAATTAAATACATAAAAACGGACTAGCATATATTGTCATGTTGTTATTATCACAATTGCATAACCTTTTACATGCCGTGCTCTCTTCCAATACTAAAGAAATTATGTCTTCTCAGTATTGAAAGCATGTAATTCTTCTTATAGCTGTAAATATGCATGATGGTATTCACTGATATCTTGGTTACTATTTAATATTTCATTTTAAAATTTTTACTGTCTGAATATGACAGAATTTTCTATATATATAAATTGTTTGGTTTTTTTGATGTAAATATTAAAGTTATTATGGATATGACATTTTATAATAATGTGTTTAAGTATAATTAGATTTATAAGCTTGTTAATGTGTTTGTTTAATTAATAAACTTGTTACAAAGTCAATCTAGAAATTTTAAACCATAAGAAACAAATAAATTAGAAATGTAAGCTAAAGAAATAAGAAGGCACGTGCTTTATGTTGTGACGTAATATACCGCATTTCCTGTGTTACGTTACTTTCGGTAGTTTTTTTATATATCTTTATTTTATCTGTGTTTACACACAGATTATTATGATACAGATATATTATGTATTTTTTCTGGGATCGCGTAATTTCATTGCGTAATTGTCCGTCATTTTTATCAGCAACAATTTTATACAATTGTGAAATCTGCGAATCTGACGCATTTGTCGGGGAAAAAATGTAAACAACTCCGATAGAAAAAACACGCTCCTAGTGAAAATTAGATGGGAGGTCACCTTTTGTGTTAACAACTAGATGGGAAAATTGACGCATAGGTGTCAAGAATGCACCGTTATTATCAACATTTGGCGTTCGTGTGACTTCTTTCTTACGGCAATCGAATAAAAGCTTGAGCTCCCGGAAGATCAGGGCGATCCGTAAGAAGTTATACTTGTCAATGTGTGCATCTCGTCTCCCGGACCTCCATACAACGGACTCGAACGGAGAAAAGGAGAAAATATCGGTAGAAGACAGACCACGGCTTCGAACTTCCATACTTATCGCTATACTACAGTTCCTACATCGGAATACGATTCCTACGAACCATTCGACGCATACCATTCGTCCCCTCGTAGAGGTATTTTTATTAGAGCATTGTGAACTAACTCTCTCTCTCCGAAAATAAGCTTAGCTGCTAAGAGCTGCCCCTTTGTGTATTTGTCTAATATTTAATCGCATTTAACCGACTTTGTTAACCGTAGATTTTAATAAATACTTTGTTATTTTGTTAAAACTTGTCTTTTGTCTATCAAAGGACGAATGTCGACTTGCTCACCTCCCTCTGCCACTCCATAAAAACCTATCCGAAACGACAACGTGGGCGATCTTTGCAGACTGTTGCCGAGTAAGTTGTCAGCAGAGATTTAACCCTTAATCTACGGTATCTCGCACAACACATAAAAATTAATACATTTATAAAAAATGTTTTTATATTCTTAATTCTGAACGTCAATAATATTTTTGTAATTTTATATTACATGTAAAAATGTATAAATTTGCAATATTATATCTGTGTCAATAGTTTTAACGATAACAATATTGGTGATATTTTCTAATGATTCATGGCTGCACCAGCAATTTATTTAAAGCTATAAAATACAAATTAATTGTTTTAAACATCCATTTCTACGTTATAAAACTACAGTAACAAAACAAGATTGCATTATTATAAAACAATCAGCAGAAAAGTTTGATTTTATAATATTTCGAGGGATAAATTCGATTAAATTTTTGTATTTTATCTTTCAAGCACTGAATATATTGTAAAATTTAAAAGTGAAATTATACAAATCACTCTTCAAAAAATAATAGTTGTTAGACATTAAAGTAAACATTATTTTGTGTACAGTAAAACAATAACATTGACATTTGACTCAATATAACAAAGAATGAAGCTTTTGTTTCGGTTTCACAATACAACTTAAAGCTTGTTGGCATTTACATTGGGAATGGGTAAAAGTAGGACTAGTCAGTTCCTTTTTCAAGAGTAATTAACTATCCTTATCTTTAACTTCAAACTAACATATTCCATACAAACGTTGAACCAACTTAACCAGTGTTCATTATTAAATTAATTAAATTAATTTAATAATGAACATAGGTATAACAAATAACAAAAAATTTTATTAAATTAATTAAATTTAATTAATTTATAAGCGGAATTAATCCACCGTAACACAGATAATATCAGAAGCCAACTACATAATGCGATGTCCAAATTACATTATTATATTAATGTATAGGAAGTAAAGTATATATAAAATCAGGGATCTGTGAAGAGAGTGTTGAAATAAGTTAATAAAACATCCGCTTTTATAAAATATGAATATACTGTAATAATATGCATATTTGATAAGACTACATTTATTTTTCATTTACTGTATATTCTCTTCATATATTTTTCATTTACTATTATGAGTAAGATGCATTAAGGTAGTATAGGTAAAAGGTATTGTAATACAGTCGACCCCCGTATAAGATCATTGATTATTCCGTTTTATATGAATTCCATGTTGTACGAGTCACTTAAATTTTACAAATACGTGAGCCGTTCACAGCCCGGTACATGTATTTGTAAAATCTAAGTGACTCGTACAACATGGACTTCATATAAAACGGAATAATTAATGATCTTATAGGGGGATCGACTGTAATTATGATGATGTGATGCTAATGATAATTCGACTATTTATGCAATATTTAAAAGAAGAATTTCAAAGTAACGTAGTAGTATTATTTGCCGTGTCATGTCGTAAATGTAATGCACGTGGACTTCAACCTGTACCAAATACTGCAGAAAATGAAAATCTTATTAATAATATTTAGGCTTTCAGCTTAAGAAAACATGTTTATTTGTATTAATTCTCAATATAACGATTGTTACTTATACATGACAGTGCTGAACAGTCGACCCCACTATGACTGTTGATAATTTCGTTTTATATGAATTCCATGTTGTACGAGTCACTTAGAATTTAGAAATACGTGTGCCGGGCTGGGAACGGCTCACGTATTTCTAAGATCTAAGTGACTCGTACAACATGGAATTCATATAGGGGTTCTCATGTATATTTTTTACTTATATTTCTGTATGTTTAGAATTTTTAATCGACTTATAAGATATTATAATTTTAACTAATTTAAAGAATAAGAATTGGCTTCCATCCAAAATTTTCTAGCTGTACATTTTGAAACAGATTGCGGAAGTAATCATGCAGTGATAAATGCGTGTATGGAAGAGTATTTAAAAATATTTAATATTGCGAAATAATATGAATTTGAAATGGAAAAAACACACTAATTCTGATATGAAAAATAAACTCTGAATAATTTTATAATGAAAATTTCCACTTTAATTAAATTATACATTTAGATTAGCCTTATTCAATGAATGATTTTAGTTAAATTTCTAATTGAAATAATTCTTATTTCTTGTTTTTTACATAAGATAAAAAATGTAATGTATTTATTAAACTTCAAATACTTTATTTTGTTGCATGTATTTTAAATATTTTAAAAGTTTAAAAATATATTTATATTTTATATTATATTATAAACAAAGCTTTATATTACTTCAAATAAAGATTAATTAATCTGTTTATTATATGTTGATGAAACATCAAAAATTTATGGCTACAAATTTCAGAATAAATGTATATATAATGTGCTACACGTGACACGAATTTATTATCGTTTTAATGAATACCATAATTATAATGATATTTGTTATATACTCAGATTTGGCTGGTGTTGTTTCTGTACATTAAGAAAGAGAACATTACAGACGCCACGTGCCGAAAGATAATGGATAAGGAACACAAAAGTAATCCATTCGATTCAGCTAGTGTTTTTTCTCGCTTATTTTTCTGGTATGTATTTAAAATTATATAACCAAATTAATATTTTAATTTTATAATTGGAATTTATAATAATCTTTTCACCCATTTGTACGATAATAACAGTGCTTAATATAAATAAAAATAAATTGAACTTTCATTCATAAATTACAGGTAACTTATATAGATAATTTTTAATATATATATGTATGTATATATGTAATTTTTCCTTCTGTCTTTCAATTTCTGTCGTTTACACGTGGTTCTTCCTTCTCGACCTTTCCGAAGGTTCTCCTTCTTTCTTCTTTTCTTCCACGCTTGCTCTAATGTTTCAACCCTCACCGGTTTTTACGCACTGAACCGTACTTCTGGTTTTGGAGATTATTTACACCTTTAAATCTTTCGCTTTGTAGATCCAAAGTGGATTGTTCTATAAACGTAACTTGGATATGTGGACGACGTCTAACGGTTTTTTTCCCATTTTATATTATACTAGCAGGTAGGCCCGGCGTTGCTCGGGCAAAAGTAACGATAGGGAAAATTAACATTATTACGTTATAGTCAACCTTACCCATTTTCACAGAATGCAAGAATTGGGTCCCTTTTGTTTCCAGACTAATTAGAGAATATTTAAATGGGCCTAAAAATATGTTCGATTTCCCGCATAAACGAAAAATCTGCATCTGCGTCTTGCATGTCGCTTTCTCTTAACGATTCCATTGTTACGTAACACTTCCATTGTTGACACTTCCATTGTTACTTAAAACTTCCATTGTTATTTAACACTTTTACTTAACACTTCCATTGTTGGTGGAAGTGTTAAGCTTTAATCCTGTCTCTCTCCGCCGTGAGGAGGAATTTCGAAAAATCCTTTCTTAGTGTGCGTTCTCGTAACGTACCCTAACTGTGTACCAAATTTCAACTTTCAACTTCTAACCGTTTGGGCTCTGCGCTTATTATTATTATCAACCCGTCTCGATTATATATATAGATACATTGTACATTTAATACTTGACTTATTTCTCTATACGGTCCAGACATTAAGCCTGATACTCATATGTGACAACGGACAACGGAAACCGTCGACATAACGGCAAAATGACGTCACTTCTGCCGTGGAAGCCTACAGAATACGAAGTTGAAAATTTTCAATTTTGCCCTTGCGGAGAGCGGAATGGCAAAAATTAGACGAAAGGAAGGCCGTTTAGCAATGTCGTCATAAACATCGCGTGGGACGATAGCTTTCGAACTATGGCGGGCGGCAAGTTACAAAGCTTTATTTGTACACTAATACGATAATATATTTCATATAAACGCTATATTACTATCCGATTTAAATACAGCATTAACTGATTATGGTGTTTCAAGAAACCAAACTCCAAATTATCTAATTGGTTAATACATCTTAGTCAATATGATTTCGATGTTAATTAAATACAGTACCAGCATTACTAACGTAGAAGCTTACCTATTGTCCAGAAATCCAGTGTTAGATAGTGGCCTCATCTCGGACAATATCAAAATCGTAAATTTAATTCGAAGAGAAGACATTATGCCATCAAAAGCCATGAAAATTTTGAACACATAGTAGCAAAGGCAATGTTACGACTAATATTTAGCATGTACACTTGGCCTAATATGTCGAAAGATGTATCCACCTATATAAATAGCTGTGGGGTATACCGGTTTAATAAAATAAACCATTGTCTAAAACTACAAAAAGCTCCTCAGCCACAGATCCTTTTGATATAGCAATTGATACAGCATTATAGCAATTATATCAATTATAGCAATTGATACAGTGGGAGGATTTAAGGAATAACAATTAGAAGAAACAATATTTGCATATGGCGATTGACTTTGCCACTCGGTTATTAAGGACATTAAGCTCCAGTAATCAAACTGCCAAGGACTTCGTGAACTTAATAAACAGTGCTACACAAACGAAAAGGCCGAAAATGATATTAGTAGACAAGTGTGGAGGTATCAACTCAAAAAAAATTCATACGTTTTCTCGGAAAACATGAAGTAAAATTAACAATATATCTTTAAATTATCCAGCAAGTAATCGCTTATGTAAAAGAATTAACTTAACTATCGTAACCTGGTTATGCTGTAAGATGAACAAGAAATAGCAGGTGAGTTGTTGGAGTAAATTACGTCAAACTGTACTAAAAGAATATAACTCCCCTCACTCAGTAACGGGTTTTTTACCAAATTATGTCATGTTCGGCATCCCACCATTCCTCCATACCGAATGCTCTTCTGCCAGTACTCCAAGTCATACCGAATGCTCTTCTGCCAGTAAAAGAAGGTAGGAAACTAGCTTACAAAGATGTCAAAAGAAGCTGGAAATCAATAACAATCATTTCGATAACAGACACAAAAGGTAACGTTAAGCCCAGCGGACCTAGTGCTAGTTGAAAATAAAAATACAATCACGCGAAAAAAATTAGAATCTATAAAGTCTGGTACTCACGTGCAGCAACAGAGGACGGAAACCGTCGAGAGAAACAATTGCCTTTCTGTCGTCTTTCCGTGTCGCGTGTGCTTACATGCGGAAATTACTCTACAATTCAAACGCGCCATCTGCTAGCCGTAAATATAAACAAACTATGTACTACAGTAGGTAGACCACGTGCCAGTAGTCGAAAAATGGCGTCTAACAGGATTGCTTTGTTATATCAATTAAACTTTTTAAGTTTTCTTCGATCTCATTGCAAATAAAAAACCTCAAAAACAAATAATTTGGATAGGAAAAATATTCTAAATTGTCGAAAGTTAGAAATAGCGAATATTTTCGTCACCGAATTACGATTACTCCATTCCCAATACTTTACTCAGTAATTACGTCTATTTGACATCATAGGCGTGTGGATCCGTTATAACTGTAAATTTTTTCTATAAAGATAACGGTGCTAATAGTCGAATGCTTCCACTATAGCTATGCATTCTAGTTTCATAACGCCATAATTTTTTTAATAATCCAATAGTTTTTTGAAAAAACAAATTGGATGTTGTTTTTCGTTGTCTTGCATTTGTTTTAATACTGTCCCCATTGCGTGTTTACTGGCATCTGTGTACAGATACACTTCTTTGTCTGGGTTAAAGATGCACAGAACTGGGAATATGGTTAGGTATGTTTTAATGTTGTTGGAGGCGTTTTGGCACTCCGAATCGCAAATAAATTTCCTTTTTTTCAATTGTGTAACGGATTTAAGAGTCTTGAACGTTGAGTATAAAACGATGGTAGTAGTTTACTTTTCCCAGAAATCTCTATAAGGTTTTTCCATCGTTATGCTTAAAAAATTCCTTAATTGCTGCAACATTGCAACTTATTAGTCAAACTCGACAGTTTGTGATGATATGCTAGAGGTATTGCACTTCTTTCTTCGCAAATTTGCATTTCGATAATTTTAGTTTTACCCCTTCCTTTTCTAGAGCGATTAGGTCTAGTTTGATATGTTTAAGATGGGCTTCAAAGGAGGTTGAATTTACTATGCTATTATTTTTGTAATTACTACAGAAGTGTATCAATTGGTACCGATCTGAAACGGTGTAAAATATATTCTCTGAAATATGGCTGACTGATTTTTATTACGAAAGGGCATGACGAGCCATTCGAAGTGATCGTTCATTATGAGAAAAGCCGTTTTGTACTGTACGTGTGTGAAAAACTTTCATAGGAGTGTGCCAATATCCAGATTTAAGGTTGTGAAATACACACAATGAAGCAATTTATCTAAATTCTAAACTATGATCAATTCTAGGGAATGGATAGTTATCAGCTATCGTCACTGGTTTAAGTTTTCTGTAATCAATGCACAACACTGAATTATCCTTCATCCTTTTTATGAGCTAAAGTAAGTGATCCGATCTCGGAATAAATTTGTGTTTTAAGAACAGTTCTATTTGATCGTTTGTTACTTTTTGGTCACTTAAGGGACTTACTATACAATTTCAAATTTTTTGGTACGTTGTTTGTTAATTTAATCTTTTATTTTTCAACTTTTATAGAACACATGTCATATTTATCCCTTGAAAATGCGTTTTATTTTCTTGCTAAATATTGTTCTAGTTCCGCACCTTGTTCTTTTGTCAGTTTAGGTTCACATAGTTTTTCTAGTTCTGTAGGTTTTAAGTTTTTGATTATATCATTTGGATTTACTTTTAGTTCGTTGGGGTTATCCTCTAAACAAGTTATTACTAGGTTTTCGTCTTGTGAATACTTACATTGGATTTCTTCCGTTAATTCACCATTTTCGTTTGACTGGAAAATTCTGTAACTTTGATCGAGACTTAAGCCGAACCAGTTTTTAAAGACTAAGCCTACTAGCAAATCATAATGACCATTGTTCACTATGATTAACTCTACTTTCTTCGTTATCGCACCGATTGCCAAATTAACGGTTACCTGACCCAAATATATTTCTGTTTATTTAATGGTTTTGAACTTCAGGCATTCGTGTTTATATTTCCAGATTTTAAAATTTAATTCGTGAATAATTTTATTATTACCACAAGAGATGTTTGCCCCACTATCATAAATCGTCTTTCTTATTTTTGTACCATTGATTATAGAGTAGAAAGTGATAAGGAGTATATATTTGAGTCGGTTCATTAGTTTAATATTTTGTAATTCGTTGATAATATACTTTTTCTTGTCGTCGTTTTCTATTACCGCGAGATTTACTTCACCCTTTCGTTCACGCGATTTTCGTTTATTCTGACAGCCTCGGGCTTAATAGAACCTATTTTGGTATCCCAAATTCTCACCCATCTTACACGCGATTGGTTTTCAATTATGTTCCGAATAAAATTCTTCCGTTCCGTAACCAAAATTACATCTTGTGGATTTATTGATTCGTTTTTTCTTTACATATTCTTCGATTCTCCGGCTTATTTCATAAAATTTTACAAAACTTTTTGATCTCACAGTTACGAAATATTCTGCCGTTTCACGGGGCAACCTTTCTATCATTAGCGGTATTATGTGGAAATCTTTCAACTTCCCTAACCTTTTTTTCCTTCGAAATAATTTTTTATTCCTATATTTAGTTCATATTTTACCTTGCAAAATCCACAATAGGACAGGTGGCATGTAATCCGAATGTTCTCACAAAAGTTGGTTTTAATAATCCGGAACTTTGACTGTCCGAGAATTCAATATACCAATTTAGGGCTTCGTCTTCTAGGTAATCTCCCATTTTATCCCATTGGTTTATCTTTTTCGTTCCAACCCATATATTCCGTCACCCTTTCGATTATTTTCACTTAATTTTCTACCTTAAGCGTGTTGTTATTGCCTCGAAATATTTGAATTTTTGGCTTACATTTTTTCGGGGATTGCGTATCCTCTTCTTTTATATTAATCTGTTCCGAATAGAATTCATCATTTCCATAGGCTATCCTTTTCTTTGGTTTTATCATGTCGATGTGTAAAGTTTCTTTTTCTCTTCCTTACGATTTCCGTCGTATACACGTGGTCCTTCCTTCTTGACCTTCTCGAGTTCTCCTGGGGTCGTATTCTGGTCACCGTCTCTGGTCTCTCGTCTCACACAAGCCGGTCGCTGATTGGCTAGTCATTTGGATTAGCCAATCAGAGACCGTCTTGTGAGAGATGAGAGACCAGAGACTGTAACCAGAATATGGCCCCTGCTTTCTTATTTTGTTCCACGCTTTTTTTATTGTTTCAACCATTATAGGTTTTTACGCATTGAACCGTACTTTTGCTTTTGTGGTTTATTTACTTTTACATTATTGTATACTTTTATTATTTTTATTATCTATCTACTTTTACAATACATCATGAGATATTTCGTTAAAGCTAACCTATACATTATTAATTATTATTATTATTAGTATTATTATATATGAGCAACTAGGGTAAACAGAATGGTAAAAGTCAAAACGGAAGTAATAAAATATATCAAAACTAATATTGTGGCAGAACCATAAGTTAGAATAAATTTATTCTGACATCAGTTTTTACGACAAGTGTTTTACAACCAATTTAATTTTACGATAATAAATTAAGTCGAGAGTCAAATCATCACACCTGGGTGATAGCTGTGGCAATAATTAACAATAATTGGCGCTTACCTTTATGTTTTTCTGAACAGATTATATACAGGGTGTATCAGAATGAGGTTTTTAAAATTGGGGATATTGTAGAGGATGAAATTTTAAACGTTTTGATATAAGGAACCCACAGCCGGAAATGTGATATAAAGTTTTTACAGCACTTTGCACTTTGCAGTCGGTATGCTGAAGAAAACAGCAAAATACAGTAATTATGACAAGTTTTATTGACAAAACAGTAGAGTACAATCAAACTGTACATCGAATCAGTGGCTGCGTTAATTTAGAGTAAATGTTCAATTTGACGACCACCGATTTCGTTACATAATGTGCAACGACAAACAATGTTTTGTCTGATGTCTTGTCAGAGATGCCACGCTGCTCTCTGATGGTATTAAATGCTGCAAAGATGCGCTCGGTAAGTTCCTGAACTGTTCTTACAGGAGTTGCGTACACAAGGGACTTTACATAACCTCAGTGAAAGAGGTCAAGAACAATAACATGATATCAGTGGTCGGAAGGGTAGCTACCAAAGAGAAGGGCGGTCAAGCACTTCCTACCGCTGTAGAAACTTTATATCACATTTCCGGCTGTGGGTTCCTTATATCAAAACGTTCAAAATTTCATCCTCTACAATCCCCCAAATTTTTAAAATGTCATTCTGAATCACCCTCTATATAAAACTAGCCAAAAACTACCGCGAAATATATTCACATGAAAAAAAATTATGTGACGATAAAAAAGACTTTTTTTTACTACACATAACTGTTTAAAATTTTTTTTTCGAAACGGTAATGAGAAAAACTCGTGGAAAGATACTTTAAAAATTTCCCACGTTTATTCTTCACTACATAGTGATAGCACCATGCCTAACCCACTGCAGAAAGGTTAAGCAACTTGTTGAAGCTCTTGTTTCAAAAAGCTATTCATTTAGAATTGAAGACAATTTATATAAGAATGATGAAATTTGAACGGTGTTGTCATTTTCCTTGAAAACTAGTTACTTTATAAGACATGTTCTCATTTATGAAAAGATTTATGACTTTATTTTTCAATGTTTTTAAAATTACGTAAAGCTGAAACGTGTTAAGTCATCGTATACTACGTTGTTTGTATTAATAATAACATTACAGTGTACGAAAACTCGATGGATTTATGAACATTTTGAGAATTGTTTTGAATAGAAACGGTTTAATTTTAATTAACCAAACAAAACAAATTAAATAGATTTTGTATTACGTATATATAGTACGTAATAAGAAGTCTATTTCGTTTGCTCGTTTGTACGCAAATGTACACCGTTTTCCTCTTCTGTCTTGCAGTATTTGTGTGAAAACACTCAATAACATTTTTACGGAAAAGAGTAAAGTAATTACATTCTTATTTTTTTTATTTTTTATGGAGTTATGGTCAAATAAAGTAACAAACAGTTATGAAACAGTACCAGTTAGTTATTGTGGAAACTATTGCAGCAAATTATCGAAAGTGCCAGATTAGGAAAGTTTTTTGTTTTTCAAAAGTTATGTTATTATTTATGCAATTCGAGATTTTCAAACGTTGTTTTATATTTTGTAACAACGATCCAAGCTATATACTGTACTTGCGATTTATGTTCGCATGTACTTTGATTACACTGAAAATAGTACAATGTGCTATGATTGAAAAATCTGCAAGATGGTTAAAGTAAAAATTACTGCACATACTTTTAAGCTATCTGTTTTAAACTAAAGATTCATTGGGAAGCGCTAAATCCGACAGAGGGCGCTGTTTTTGAGCCAAGATGGCTGCCGAAACAGGTAAGGAACTAACCGTGTTCAGTGCTTCATCCGATTCAGTTTCCATCGGTGACGACTTTTGCGAGGACCAAATGGAGAACAAATCATTGAATTTATGTCAAATTCTAGACTATATCGGCGACAGGAAACGTTGTCTTGTAGAAAGTGAAGCCGTTTTGAATGACGGACACATAGTATTTTGTGGATTAAACCCTAACAATAACACTGAAGTTCGTGTTGTTGCTTTATTGTTGCAATCTCAGATATAAATCTCAGATATATTCTCAGAGATAAATCTCAGATATATATTAATACATCTCAATTACAGGGAGAACACACATGCAAAGGGGGATTTTCTGGTTTTTGTAAACATGTGATAACATGTTTATTACACGTTAACAGGTAAGATTTGTTTAAATATTTTAAGCAGTATACACTCTGTTCCAATACATAAACATAGTTTTATTTTGCCATGTTTTGAAACCGTGTCGTATTTTTATATTTGTTTTATAAGCGCAAAAGTTTCATTTATCATAGTAGTTAAAATTAGTGCCGATCTGAAGGCTGCCGTGCTGAGTTATTCTGCACTTATACAACATAGCCCAGTCAAAAGTTTGTAACACCCATTATGTTTTGTGTGTGTGTACGTCTTATATGTTATTATTTACTTATTATTGCTTTAGTTGTTTAATAAATGTTAGATTTGACTGGTGACAACATAGCGACTCTACTTGTAAACTATAAACTTGCATTTTCAAAAGACTACAGGTATATGAGACGTACATACACACACACACACAAAACAAAAAAAAAACAGAAAAATTATCGTGGATAATAAACTATCAAACCACCTTCCGTTGCTAAAAAACGTTTATTAGAAAAACACAAACGCTTTCAACCTAATGCAATAGATCATGTTTAGGTGTAATTGTATTCGAATGCCTTTTCAATACGGAACATCTTAACAAAGTAACGTTCGACACGCACATTTAAATTTTGATTATATAAATAAACTCTTAAATACCAATATAAAATATTATACAGAAACGCAAAATAATACAATTAATAAAATAAAATAAATAAAATGCATCAAAATATATAAGCATGAGCGCAATAAAGATTCTTATATTTTAATTATTTGTTTGTATTATATATTTTATCCAAAACTTTCATGCATTAGATAATGCATCTGCACACCTGCTGATCACGCTATAATTTTCTAATTTATTTTATAAATTTTAAATTGTTTTTGGCTCAATGCTTACTTTGGAAAATGTACTGATAGTTCTGAGAATACTCGCCTTATTCCATTTAACTATGGAGTCCCGTACTCGTGCATACTAGACAAAACTGTGTTGTTGTGCCCTTTGTTAATGTCATATTTGTGCTCTTTGAGCTTAATTCTCAGATTCCTTCTTGTGATCTCAACAAAGCTATTCTTTATTCCTAACTGCTGATTTTGAATAGGAATTCTGTAAAAACCTCCTTTTTGAAATTTGAGATCATTTCTCATATAGCAATAACAGAAACTTATAGCAAATCATATAATAATTTTTTTCAGTTGGCTTTTCCCGTTATTAATCAAAGGAAAAAAGAAGTTTTTAAAACAAGAAGATTTGTACAAAACTTCTAAATATCATTCCTCCGAATATCTAGGAAATCTGCTTGAAAAGTAAGTTTATATATGCAATGATAATTCTGTTTAAAGTATAAAAAATACATCTATATAAAATAATATTTTAAACTTGAATTTCAATATGTAAACTTCAATAAATTCATAGTATGTTAATAAACAATTTCACATTTTTCTGATACATAAGATTATAATGTAAGGAAATAGAATTAATGTTAAAATTATTATTTATGTAAGGAATCGGAAAGTAAAATGTAAGCACTTACATAACAAAAGAAATTAATATAATTAACAATACACACTTTTGTGCAAAACTTCAGCAACGATTTTTTTTTGCCATAACTCCTCAAGAAATCACCTGGGAAACATGAAATTTAGAATAGAAACACAGTATTTTGTACATAATAAAGAGAGCATACTTGTGCAAAAATTAATACTACGTATGGAGTCAAAAAAACTTTATTGAAAGAGTTGCATTGGTACAAATGATAGTTTACCCAAGAGGAAGAACAACATACAGATGTCATGTAGTAAGGGATATGATCTCCATTAAACTGCAATGGTTGCTTGGCACATTCAATCCGTACTTAACGTCAGATTATCAAACGGTTATTGAAGTAAGAGTGCCCATTCCTCAAAGAGCACACGTTTCAGTTGTTGGGTGTTCTCCATCGAAACATGCCGAAAGGTGTCTCTCTAAATCATCCCATACATGTTAAGGGGATTTAAATCGAGAGTACGCTAGTCAATCCATTATAGTGTTATCTTGACTGTCTAGAAGATTTCAACAGTACGAGTCCGATGTGACCTGGAGTTATTATCTATAAAATCGAAGTCAGCACCAACGGCACCTCAGAACAGATGCATGTCACTTGCTGACAATAGTGATCTCCAGTAACAGTACATCTATCGAAAATTTCAAGCTCACTCTGCCCGTTTATCATAATATCTCCCAAAATGAGCACACCAGGAGTACCGTAACAGTTTATTTCTGTGATTTAGGGGTACACAACAATGTTCCTATCTCTCTCCATTTTAACTGGCATTGAGAATCGCTTGTGATAGTGAAACGAATATCATCTGTAAAAAAGACATGTCTGCATTGATTCGATATCCAGTCTTTGTGTTCCTTACATTAGTCTAAACCTGCTGCCAATGGGCAGCTATCAATGAGATGCAGCACTCAGGACATCAGGCAAATAGGCCACTTTTAGAAGGCATCTAGCCGTATTCAACCACGACACATTTTGTCCATTGCAGTTCGCATCTGCTGATCAATATTGCCTGCTGATTGCTATTAATCTCTGGTATCTGCACGACAATATTTTAGTCATACATTGGCATTGTTTTTCTTCACGACACCACCAACCTTTCTTACTGCTACACAGCCGGTTTGGAAGGCTTTCCAAGCTTGTGAAATGACACTTTTGCTGATTCCAAACTCCTGGGCTACACTTGTCAAACTACGCTGCCCCTCAAGCTTTCCGATCACTCTACCACATGTAAAGACATTCAGGTGGTTTCATCCAGTTATATTGCATGTACAAACTTACTCCAACTTGCAGGAAATGTATTTAATAGCGCGTTTTGTCCTTTTTTTATTGCAGTCTTCACTGCGCGCGCTGACTGCATGCGTTTTTCGTTCGCTCATGTCACCTGTGACGTCTTCTTCATAATATTTGCATACGAATCATCTTTCTACTGAACTGGGTGTTCATTGTACTGATAACAAAAAGCCCTTTCGTATAATTTCATAGATGCCTGCAAAAAATTACATTGTTACTTAAGTTTTGCCAGTGTATAAGCCTAAAGCCTGTTGAAAAGCTACAACGTGATGACTTGTTGCCATTTGGTACTGATTATTTTATGAGACTGTGAAAAAACAATATAACATACTCACGACAATACTATACCAAGGAATATATCCTGAGTACACAGGAAAATAGTATGGGTGACATAACTAACGATTTTATGGAAACAGAAGCACATAGTCATTTACAATTGGTACATGATGTGTGAGTGAGATGCTGGTTTTATAAAACAAGGGAAAGAAGATTTAATGTATTTAAATTTTTTCAGTATATTATATAATCAATTTTGTTATAAGGTTAAACTATAGATAAAAATTTATACATCACTCGTAGTTTCTTACAGATTGGTAAATTGTGTTGCTTCAAAATATTACGAAGTTTAAATGTAATATGTTTTTATCTTGTAAAAATTTTTTTTTGTTATTCAGAGAATGGAATAAGGAATTGCAGAAGAAAAATCCAAGCACAGTAAAAGCAATACTACGATTCATTGGGTGGAAATACTTAATAGTAATTTTATTTGCATTTATTCAGGTACTATGCCTAATAATTTGAATTATTGTTGCCATTCGACATGATTCATAATATACCAATTATGTATTTTCAGGAAACTGTCATAGTTATAAGCAAAGCGTATATTTTAGGATTAATAATATATTATTATGACAAGAAATCGGAATGGAATGAATCAAATGTTTATTTATTAGTCGCAGGATTTTGTGGCCTAACAGCGATTTATTCGTTGACATTTAATACTAATTACTTTATAACAGAAGTATTAGGCATGAAGTTAAAGGTAGCATTGTGCACTGTTATATACAAAAAGGCAAGTATTAAATATATCATTATAAACATGTAGTTTTGTTTTTATTCCTGTTTGTTTGTTCAACTTATGTCATTTTGATTACAGACTTGTTTTAGTCTTATAAAATAAAATATTGTAGTTAATTTTTCAGTTTTCTAGCTTTATTTGCTTACTATTAACATTAAACAGTATACTGTTTTAATGGAAGTACAGTTATATTAATTCAAAGGTTTGTCATACTTCTTGGATTTTATACTTTTTGAGGTCACAACTTTACCTATTGTGTTATGTAATATATAAAGTGGATTGTATATTTTTAGTTAGAGTAAAAATAGAAATAAGTATTAATTAACGTGTATATAGTTCGGTGTGTATTCCGGTAATTCTTAAGATGCATCAAAAGGGTTAAAAGTTTTTTAAAAGATGAAATGTTATGGATCTTTACACTGAATGAAACAGTAGTTGAAAAGTATAAAAATTGAAAATGCATATTATTGACGATTCGTGTTTTTTATAATGAAATGTAATGTGTAAACAAAATGGCTAAACATCAGTAGTTGTATATAGTATAATTGAATATTTTAAATAAAAGAATCACTATTAAAATTCCAATTATCACAAGAGTGTTTCATCAATATAAAGTTGCAAAATTTCTAATTTTTTTGCGATACATTATGTACTCTGTTTCGCTATAATGCGAATTTAATGTTTCATTTCCTAATTAAATACACTTTCTGGAAGAAAGTGAAATAAAACTTTATGCATTTTATTCAAATAAAAAATAAAATATTTCATAAACATATAGGTTGGTATACTTGTTTATTATCTTCTGTTATTTTCGTGATTAAATTTTGCACTGAGGTTATTCTTAAAAGTAAGTGCAGATTTTAGGACGATATGTAATTTGCGAAATACAATAACGGAACACTAACTACAATACAAAATCGGATATATAAAAGTTTTATTGCTCTAATAAATGTTTATAATAAAATAGAATACAAAAACTAACACAACACTTTTCTCATGCAATGTAAGTTTTTGAAACACAAGAGAAAATTTATTCTAACACATTAGAAAGTTATTTAATAGTAATGAACGAAATTAAAATAATTATAAAACAAAGTAAAACAACTAACTGTAGCGAAAATGATTAAGTTTTCTAAATTATATAAGGAAGAATGAAAAATGTACTTTAAAGTTAAAAGAAAATACAACGTTTTTTCACACCATCACAAATAGTCTTACTACGTTATATTAAACCTATATTTTCCATATATTTTTGTGTAGAAAGTTAAAACGTTTGCGTATCTAATGTAAATTACTCAGGTTTCAGGGATAATAAATTACATTTATTTTTAACATGTTCTGGTATTATATGCTTTTCTAAACTTTGTATATTGGTAATAATTTTTTTCTATTGGTAATAAAATGTCTGCTGTATTGGGTTTAATGCAGCAGTCTCAGTTTTAGTAATGGATAATATTTCGTTTCATAACAAAAAAACACAATTTAATTAATAACTAGCAGGTGGGCCCGGCGTGGCTCGGGCAAAAGTAACGATAACTAAGATAAAGATTATTACGTTACAGTCAACCTTACCCGTTTTCACAGAATGCAAGAATTGGGTCCCCTTGTTTCCGGACTAATTAGACAATTTTTAGATAGGTCTAAAAATATGTTCGATTTCCCGCAAAAACGAAAAAAACTGCATCTGCGTCTTGCACGTCGCTTTCTCTTAACAATTCCATTGTTACGAAACACTTCCATTGTTGAAACTTCCATTGTTACTTAACACTTCCATTGTTACCTAACACCGCCATTGTTACTTAACACATCCATTGTTGATGGAAGTGTTAAGCCTTAATCCTGTCTTTCTCCCCCCCCGGGAGGAATTTCGAAAAATCCCTTCTTAGTGTGCGTTTTCGTGACGTACCCTAACTGT